AACTACTTGTCTGGAGCTAATGGGATCCTCTCTTTGATTCAAGGAGCAAAGTCAGGGAATATGGTAAGATTTTGGCCATTAAGTTTTTTTTTTCGGGTTAAAAAAAGACCTTCCGAGTTCCACTTCTATTTTTCTTTTAAAAACTATCTTTTGAGGCATGGCTGAAAAGCAATTTCTGATTTGTTCTTGTTCTTAGAATCTAATCTAATTACTTTTGTCTTACATTACCTTTCATTAATTGAAGGGTACCAACAATTCCTTTATGTATAATATTCGGGAAATGTAAATTATTTAAAATATGGATGGTGTTTAAGTGACTAAAATGTGTGCATCAAAATAGGTAAATGTAGGTTAAGTAAAAGAAAAGACAATGTTTATGTTCTGAGTTAGTATTCAGACAAAATTATTCATGTTTGAACATTGGCCTAACCGAGACAAAGCTACAGCAACATGACTTTATAAACACAGTAAGAGCTACTCATACTACACATTTTTTCTAACTTATATTTTTATTTCCTTTTCAGGGTGGAGAAAACAAAGATGTTAGTAAAGAACTTGAGAGAAACCTCAGCCAACAAGGTGACTTGATCAGAAATGCAATGATGGAGAATTACAAAACTTTTGAAAAGTGCCTACAAGAAGGAGTCGAAAAATCCAAAGATTCATTGGAAAAAATCTTGAAGAACTTTCTCTATCCTCCAGTATGTTTTTGGATACTAAAAACCTAGTAAACAGTACTTTGTATTTCTTCATATCCTGAAATGTTTGTATTTCTTCAGAGAAAGAGTGGACGTGGTTTTCATAACCAACTAAAAAAACTGGTCAAAAATAAAGGGATCCTAAAACCAAAACATGGGCGGGAAAAAAACTTGAACACTGAGTTAATTTCACTTCTGACAGATAGCATTGATGAGGAATTCAGAAAAACTTTCCCGTAAGTACTTTATAAGCAGCTTAAATAAAGAGAATGTGTAGAATAAACAATGAGTGTACTAATTTAAAGAATTATACAGTGTAAGATAATCAGAAAACACATTTAAATATTTCAGGAATGACGGAAAATGTGGTCCAATCTACGGAGTAATCAAAGAAGTTTCACTTGATGTTGAAGGGCTAAAACAGAAGTACAGTGATGTTGAACTACAGCTGGTATTTCTGAAGAATGAGGTAACTGATGGGGAAAGTATAATGTTCATGTCATTCAACAGATAAATGCTTTTTTACAGACCAACAACATGTAAAATTAATAAAATTTGCCCAAAAGTCTGTTTTTTTTTAACAGTTAATTTCTTATATTTTGCTTAGGAAGAACAATTAAAGACAAAACTGACCAAACTTATTCGTGACCATAAAAAAAAAATCTACAACAGTCCAGCAAAGACAGCTGAGGAAAACCTGAAAAAATGCTATGAAGGTAAGATTAACTGATATATAAATTAACACAAATTCTGCATTTATACATTGCTTGTTATTTTACATTTGTAATAAATTTCAACATTCTCTTTTGCAGAAGCAGCAGGATTTTCAGGAACTGGTTTACTGCAGAACATGAGGGAAACTATAGAGAGACATGTCCATAAATCAAAGAACATCCTGTTTGAAAAGGCTAAAGATGAAATGTTGGATCTGCATAGCAGTATGGCGGTATGTTACATATAAGTTGAAATAAATACAAAAAATGTTTTCTTTCATATCAAACTATCAACTGCTACCATAGTCGCTTGTGCAATAAACTTTCCCAATGCTGAGTGCATTGATTATTCTGTAAGAAACCATTTTACTAGGTCAATATCCTTTTTAAAATACATTAGGATCAGTCATGCTTTTAACCACTGATCTTTATTTATTCACTGGATTGGACTCCAGATGAGTTAGAGGAACTGTTACCAGCAGATACAGAAATGTTTAAGAGTCTTACCGTGACAGAGTGTCATGAACAGAGGAAGTTCAAACGTTTATTAAATAAAACAAAACAAAAGCAGAGCTGTGGGTCGCAGACACTGCAGGCGGGGGGGCACCACCCAATCTCAGACACTCTAGGGAGGAAACACAGGTAAGCGACCACGATAAACTGATATATGATTATCTGGGTTGGTCGCTTACCTGGTTTAACAGTCCAGACCACGAGTGTCCCCAGTGCTGCAGTCCCAGA